GACAAGCAAAATTAAGGTGGCCAAGGAGACTCAAAAGTTCATGCTTGGTACAGGTTTTGCGAGTGAGAAAGGTATCGAGCAATTCGCGAATATGAACAAGTTTATCCTTGGGTAAGCGAGCTTGCCTTTTAACAGTATCCAGAGTGATACCAAGATATTCAAGGACTGTTGATGGACCGACTGTCTTGTGTGGTGCTAAAAAGACCCCTAGGCGACGAAATATAAGTGTCAAGACAGCCATGGTGCGGTCTGCGTCAAAGGTAGGTGCATCAACTGTGAGGAAATCATCTAAGAGATGGAAGATAGTGTCAATATGATAGTTGTTATGCACAATCCAGCATATAGCAGAAGAAAGGTTGTCGAAGATCTTGGGGCTAGAACGTGATCCAAAGGGAAGACGAACAAAGAAGTAGAAATTTTTTCCCCAAGAAATTCCATAAAGGTGCCAAAGTGAAGGGTTGATAGGAATCAGTTTGAATGCATCCACAATATCGGTTTTACATAGCCATGCACCTTTCCCTTTCCTTTGAATAGCAGAAATGGCATCGTCGATTTTAACATATGACAATGAAAAATCATCTTTATCAATTAAATCATTGATGCTTGGTGTATCAATATTGTCACGTGGTGATAAAAGGTCAACAATTAATCGTTGTTTGTTTGAGTATTTTTTTTCCCACGACACCAATTGGGCTACAACGATATACCGGTACCGCAAATGGTGGCGTGTAAAAAGGTCCCATTAGGTAGCCTTTCTTGACTTCTGATGCAAGATGTTTGGAAACAACTTCAGGCTGACTGCGTGCAGAAAGAAGGTTGAGATATATAAATGAGGTTTTTGGTGGGTCCCTGATTCCTGTATCAAAACCATCTTTTAAGCCACTAATGAGGTATTCCACAAAAGACTGATCTGGGTGAGATAATAATTCTTGGGCAAGAATATCGACATTTATAGGTGTAGACACAGATGTAGGCAGTCAGGCTTCTGTGTGTTGCATTGTGGTCAGAAGAATGGTAAACGAGGCACACATGTACGTAAGGACAACCAGTCAAAGAATTAAAATTGTTGCAAATCTCTTTTCCTTGATATGAAACTCGCTTTCTTCCATTCCTGTCATGAGTTTGGGAAGGCTGTGCATTGTTGCCGTTAAAGTTTGGTTTTTTTGCCTGTAGAAGACAACTGAAGACAAGCCTCCGTAGTATGAGTCACGCTGTTACAAATATTACACGTATTTGCCTGAATACCCGCGAAAATAGAGGTGAACAAAGTAGTGTCTCGACGTGACCAATCGAGTTTCACATTGTGGTTCAAAAGCAGCGCAGCAGCCCTTGCCGAGAATGCACGATGGTATTCATAAAACGCCAGTCCTTTAAAACCTCTAGACATATCAATAATGTCTCGTTGGTAAATGTCAAGTTCGATACGGCGATCTGCATAAACATCGCAGATAACATTTTTATAAATCGAAAATGCAAGAATGAATTCTTGAATTGTCAAAGCGCGAGTTAACCTGCTGTCTTGAATCGGTTTCAAAGTATAAGCCTCATCGCCCACGACTATGTGACGGTGACCGTCAGTTTGAGTGTAGCCTTGTTAAAAACGAGTCCAATTGCTTTGATTTTACATATATATATAGGTACTACATGTTGACCTCTCTCAGATTTGTTCATTTTGTAATGATATCTTTAATTATCTACAGTAATTTTGGTGAATATTTTTGTCATTTTTGGTAAAAAGTTATATTTTCTTCTTGTTAAAAACCACAATCATTTATGGTGAAAAATGGTATTTTTGAATTTTTGTTGAAAACAGCAAGTCCCATTGCATTGATACTATGCATATTGTTTATTTTCTAATGATATCTTCTGTTCTATAATTGAAATGAGCATTGTACACAGCGGAGTTATCTCAGCCGAGAGGCTGCTTGTATAAATTTGTTTCCAACATTATATTTTCTCATCAGTGCCTTGTAGTCCAGTCAAAACTAAACTTTAAACACCGGTTTTTCTTTACATTTTTTTATTTTTTTTTATCATATTATCTTTTTTCTCTTTAATAGTGTCAAAGTCAATTTTCATTCCCATTCACAAAATAAAATGTTACATTTTGACAGATTTTTCACCAGATTTTTGTAACTATTAGAAAGTTATGTTCGTTTGGTCCAAAACAATCAAAACAATATTCAGAAAATGAAAAAAAAAATGAAAAAATAGGCAAAATGTTGAACCAAGATTTTGCCTGGAAAAATTATGGCACTCAAAAAGTGAATATTTTATATACACTTGATTCAATTTTTTTTATGTACTACAAATGTAATGCCACATTTGATATTTAACATATGCAGCTATTATTTATTTAAATTGTGAGCCACTAATTCAAAAAGGTTAACACAAATATATTTTTAGATAATAAAATAAATTGAATATAAAAATAGTCAAATTATTAAATCTTCAAAGTTAATTAATTTCACATTGATATCTATTCATAGAATCCAGATATGGTACATTATGATTTGAAATATGCTCTGAGACTATGTTCAGAACATACTATTGAGAGGGCATGTGTTCATATATATACAACTATGGGTCTGTATGAGGAAGCTGTTGACCTCGCTCTGAAGGTATGTCTTTGTCTTTATCAGTTTCTCTATCTTTATCTTTGTTATGCTGTGATTGGTTGAGACTCAGTCACATTTGATTTAATAAAATTGAATATTGTATTTTGCCCGCCAAGTGGATATTACATGGTGTATCATGTGTATGACGTCTGAAACTACTGCGAAACGATACTGCGCATAACAAATTGTCATTCCCTGTACTGCTGCTGTCCTGCTGGTGGCTGTCGCTTTTGCTTTCGGGGGTTGCTTTTAAGGTTTTGAAGGAACTTTAGCCATCCGAAATAGACAGTGAATGTGACAGGACTGTTACCATGACCATATTATGACCATAACTGGCATCACTTGGGCAGGCAATAAATGGTGATATTGCCCTCACAAACATGTGTTATTATTTAATTTATATGTGTAGCTCAAAAAAGGAGATTTTAGACTAATCCATGTCTGTAACTATGTTGTTGTACATTGATATCGAAACAGTACAC